TGTATTTTTTCCTCGAATTGATGACATCCAAAAGACATCTCATAAAAGTCATATTATTTTTACTCATCTTTGATTACTTATTTAATTTTTTATTACATTTGTAGAATGGTAGCACAGTACAGTATATATGTCCTGTATACGAACAGTAACGATGCATGATATATTTTTTTATACACTTTTCTAATACACAGTACAGGTACTTCATTATCAACATTAACACCAAATGAAGGTTTCATTCAGAAGAATTGTGTGAATATAGCACTTGATATGATAAGTGGTGTTTATTAGTGTAGAATGAATGATTTATGGTTATAATGTGACAATAACATGCCTAGCACAAGCGTACGATAAAAACTAAAATCGTTTGTGAAACTCCTGTAGACCAACATTTAAAATATTGTGCATAGCGGAGTTGGAAAATTACGAAGGGAGTATAACTGCAATACTTCGGAGTATAAATTGTATCTTTGATTTATTGACGATATAGAAAAGTCTAGGTTATTTTTATGTGTCTGTTATCTTTATAATACACCAATAGTATAATACATTACAAAGTTTGACAGAATTGTTATTATATACTAGTACTTCACTGTAAAATGAGCAATACTAAGACCATTTATCCAAACTGACTAATGCTGGTTACATAAAAGTGACTGAAAATCATCTCGATATAAATATTGAATGTAACCGAGAATGGAATGTGTTAATACAGTACCTTCTTCTCTTACCGTCATTTCCCAAGACACTGCAGTAATATAAGGGTCACATGCTAGACGTGGAATACCTTGGACCAATTCTCCTCCAATCCTCTGGAAGCCTTTAGGCATGTGCCTTTTGTTTGACTACCACATTCCAATAAATGCTCGACCAATCACAAATCTTTGTACTTTGGTGTATTCGAATAAACGGATGTAAAGTGTGCTGAATTTTTTGTTATATCCTAAATACTGCATCATCTTAGGATGGTTATCTGTTACTCCAGTACTTCCAGACAACATTATGTATTACTTTTGTATATTGCTGTATCCCTATACCCTATAGCCTGCTGCTCTCTCACTTTCTCTCTCTCTCTCTCCTTCCATCCTTCACTCTCCTTCCCTTGCGTTATTCATTCTGCTCTCGTTTATTGCTTTAGATTTTTACATATCCATGCCATTGTCCCCATATATTGGTTGTTTTGGTTCTTATTCTCACCTGCGATAGATCTCCAGTGACATATTTGGGTACATAATGACCAGGCTGTGATTTTGTTATGATCCAAGTTTATTATTTTTGTATTGCTTGTTTCCATTAGGTATCAGGTATGCTATTTATTGTTTCATAGACTTACTGGACCACTGAGATTAGTAAGGGACCAGGTTGAGTCATTTTATTCTTCCCAGAATGCAACCCATCCTCCGAATTGACAGTACGATTTAATACTAAGTGTAATAAGTACACTTTCTTACTGTCATAAACAGTGCATAATTACACTTATGGGGCTGTTACATTTACCCAACTCCCTCCCCCGATTTAATTCTCGTTTTCTGTTAAGACACTCAAAATTTTAGGATGAAGTTTTCAAATTCAACTTGCTATACACAAGTTTAAAATATCAGGAATTTCTTTTTCAGGTTTATTAAACAATATAGATTTTATACAAAATTTTGAAATATCCTAAGTTACTTTACAATTTATTGATATATTTTAGTTTTGTCTTATTAGTTTTATGAAACTTTAATATCAATATAGCTATAGGTTAAGTACTAATTGTAATTAAGAAGCAATAAAATTATTATCTTCAAAAACTAAGACGGTTAGGTAAGGTTGTGGTTTTCTATTCAGTTTTTCAGGTAAACTCAAATATTCACAATATATTTGACGGTACGATTTAATACTAAAGTGAAAATATGTACAATTCCTAACTGCTATAAATAGTACATAATTGCACTTATTTGTCTTCTTACATTTACCCCCCCATTTTTGGAGGACGGGCTGTGCAGTGGGTGTGCATACTGCCTCGGAGCCCCTCACCTGCAGCTTCGTGGGCTTAGGGGAATGGGACATGGGTCCTGTTCACCTCTACATTAACCCTTGTTGCAGGGGCTGGGTGTTTGCAATCCCCTCTTCATGTGCTCTTTTTGTTTTGTATGTGGTTTTCCCTGTGACTTGGTTCCACATGCCTTTGGCTTGCCTTGGTTCTGCTTGCCACAGGCCTGTCAGGATCATCCTTCCAGATGTGCCTGCCCCTCGGGTCCCAGTTTTCTCCTCATTGTTGGACCCTGCTTCCTTTGCATTTGTTTTTGTTTTCTTCCTTCATGGTGTTGCATGAAGGAAACAGGGACCAACCAGCATGGTTGGGTGGTGTGGGGGTTTTGCCCATATTTACAGGTGTTTTGAGGGGTGGGCTCTTTCCTCACACCCTCCTTGGCTGTCTGCTTACTCCTGATCTTTGGCCAGGAGTCTCAGTCGGCTCACTGTCCGGGACCCCTTCTTGGCAGCCCCTATGACATTTGGCTTTCCGACAGTCTGCCTTGGGTTCTATATCCTAGTTCTCTTGGGGTTTCCTTTGGATTGGCTCCAGGGTGGTCTTTGTCTTCAGATGGACATTTGGGGGTCATGGTCTCTGCTGTGGCAGCCTTGTCTAAACCTCCAGAGCTCTGTTTCCATGCTCTGGGAGCATGGTGGCCACAACCTGCACTGCCTTTCTTGTGTGTCGGCAGGCTGTGTTGACCAGTTCTTTGCTTTAGTGGGGGGCCTTGGCTCTCCTTTCAAGGTAGAGCTGGGGCTTCACCTCCTAAGGTCACGGCTGGCCTTCTGTGGAGCCAGTTCCTGAGTCACTTGCACTTCCCTCGGCCAGTCTGAATCTGGCAGGTAGGTGTCGTGCAAGTCTTGCCTGGTTGCTTAGGCTCCTTTTATGTTGCTCCATCCTTTGATATTCTCCTTTTGGTCGGAACACGGGAAGGGTGGCTCACCCAGTTTGCCAACTCCTGGTCCCATATTTTGTGGACTTTTTTGGGGTCATTTCCTGCATCTGGTAGTGCGGTTGGTTGGTCGGTCATTTCCCCTTCTCAGGGTTCAGAACCTCCTGGCAGGTCCCAGGCCTCTGGTTCTTCCTCGACCTTCCATGGCTGGTTCAGTGTGTTCCTTTCTTGGGTTTCTCCCTGGGCTTCTGGGGCATGTCTTGGTTCATCCCTATACACCCAGGAATGTGGCATGTTTTCTGCTTTTGGTGGCGTCAACCTTGCCATATTCGGTTTCTCCCAATAAGCCCTCTCTGGCTCCATGCATGTTCACAGTTTCCTTGGTTCCTCTTGTCTCGTCTTCCGGTTTTGGTGTCATGCTGGGGTGGACTCCCTGTTAGTCTGCTAGCCAGGTTTTTCATTCGTCCCCAGCTCACCAGCTTTGTCTTCCTGGAGTGCTAGCAGAAGTCCCAGTTAGTTCAGTCCCAGGTTGACATTACTTTCCCTGCCACCGGTGGCCTTGGCCTGGCTGCAGCTTCACTATCTGACAAAATTGAGTTGGGCTCACAGCATGGTTTGGGAGTTTGCAGCCGTTTCACTTGCACTGTAGAGTTAGGATTCCTCCAGGCTTCATGCTCTGGCCATTGCCACTTTGGAGTCGGATGCTGCGTGTAGCTCTGCTGGGTTCTTGGCATTTGGTTCTCCAAGCAGTTCATGTCCATGGAGTGTCCAACATCCTCACAGACTGTCTGTCCCAGTTGGTAGGGTGAACCTTCCAACTTTTGACGGGTGGCTGCTTGCTCTAAGCACTGCTTGCTCAGTGTCTAAACCCAGGCGTTTTTTTTATGACTCTGCCTCTTACAGCGGGTTGGCTCAGCAACTTTTCTCGCTTGTTCAACCTTCTCTGCTCATTTGGCATTTTTGGGGGCATTTCTCACCATTTCTATATCAAGCAGGTGGCTTCACTGATGGTGACCCACCCGAGGTCCTCCTTTTGACGACAGTTTAAGGTTTCGTTGCACTCTTTTTGCCACTTCCTTTCTCATTGTTCTTTGGTTTCTGAGCATGTGGTGCTCTCCTAGCTTTTTTTGATTGGCATCTGCTGAATAATGTTGCTTCATCTCGTGCAGCATTGGCAGAGTCACTGCACGAGATGAAGCTTGTTCCAGGTCGTGTTTCTCATCCTGGTGTCTCTTCTTTATCCAAGATATGCAGTGCTCCCTCTTCCCTGGTTAGTGCCCATTTTTTTTTTTTCTCTGTGGGTAGAAAATCAGAACTGAGTGTAATGAAATGGCCATTTCTGGGTAAGCCCCAGTGGGGTGAAGAAGCTGACATTAGTTTCAAGAGGCTTTGATTGTTTACACTGTTGTAAACAATCTTGAGGCTATTTGTTTCCGCGGTTTTTGAGGCTGCGGTCTTAATTGAAGCCAGCAGTGGTCTGTTTTGTTTTGCTGACTTTCTGGGTGCCTTTCCCGGTGGTAGCACAAATAAATAAATGCCACCTCTCCCTGTGCCTCTATAGGGGGGGGGGGGGGGGGGGGGGCATGGTTCTGGTGCTGGGACCAGGTAGGCCTGTAGAACTCTGCAGGTTTTGTAACCTATAGTTGGTACACTATTAGTGATAGAAGTTTCAGGGAGCCATCGGAGCTCATCCAGAAATTGGCTTTTCATTACTACAATGCTGGTTTTTTAATTCCATGTATGATCAGTGACAACTGACTTACAGTACTATTGTCATATTAAAAATGGTGTACTCACCTATTTGTGCTTGCGGGGGTTGAGCTCTGGCTCTTTGGTCCTGCCTCTGCATGCACATGTGTGTGTGCTAATAACTTAAACACATCACAGCCTTTTAACTTTCCTAGAAGTGATAAGTGTCTTGGATATAAAAGTAAATGTAGAATCTCATGGCACCGAACAGTATTTTAAAAATGGGTTTAGACAATGTTTTACAAACATTGCACACAAGTTATACAATTTTTGTATCACTGAATAATGAGACCATGTGTGTGGATTATTTACATCTAGTTGAATTGGCCTGGCTAAATGATATAAATATTTGTAACTTATAATTAACATTTATTCTGTTTTAGGTTTTGCAGAGAGATTGTGTACATGAATAGAATTATCCAAATTATCTTCAATGCCTTGTTGTTGCTCTACAAGAACATTGGACTGCACATCCTGAGAGTTTGAGTGTCCCATATATTCCCTACTTGAGCCTTCATGTACCTGATCTTGTGGATGGTTGAAATTTGGCTGATTTGGATCAACCTTATTTCCTGAAGTCAGCTCATACAGGTGCTGCGTTTGACTGACTTTATCCTGCTGAGTTATTTCATATCCATGCTGGGTAGCCGATGCTTTGTCATCTTCATTAAGGTCATAAGTGTGATGAGCGGTTGAGACTTTAGAGCCCGGAGAAGTGATGAGATCTCCCGTTATAACTTGTACTGTTCCAGGTAGCGAGTCGCCATTCTCTGTCGTGACACCACTCCCAGCTACACGCACAGGATTGGAGAAAACAGTAGATATTCCATCGATTGTAATGACATATGAACTATAACCATTAACGCTATTTTCACTTCCTTGGGCTGCTGCTCCAGCCGAAACCTGAAATATAGCTTTGTTACTTCACAGTGAGTGATTCCAAATAATAGCATGAAAAATACTAAAATATTTCAAAGTGGAGATTATTGTGACGTACTGTACACAAGTACACTCAAATGAATAATATTAATATATTGCAATGTATTAGTTTTCCACTAATGTAATAAATGATTTCCACTAATAAGTAATAAATGATTAAATAAAAAGTATTTCAAGATGGTTCTGTGGAAAATATATATTCATATATTTTATAAGGAAATCAGAAGTGGCATTCACAATTTTGTCCCGTTTCATAGTTTTTGTTGCGATACCAGATAAAAAATAGCAAATGATACTTATGTATTTTAAACCCTAGCTGATATCTTATAAACTACATGAATCTGTATGGTGTCCAGGCTGGGTTAACAGGTGCAGACAGCTAGAGCCATTGTATTTTTACCTGACCTTGCTTGAACCAATAATTACTCTTCCAGGTAGCATATTCAAGTTCTATAAATTTCCAGGTATCATTGCACCAGTGATTTTGGCAACTTTTATTCAATACCGATTCCTGTATCTAATATTTTTTCTCAGCAGTGACCATTGTTCATGAGATTTTGCTTCTCCAATACAGCATGCAAGAACATTCATTTCTAAACATTTTGATACTGATATCAGCTTTTTATGGCTTCATCTCACGTAGTCCCGAGTTTCAACACTGGGAATGCTGGTGGTTTTAACATACTCTCACAGCTGAATATGTTTTCTACACAATTTCTGATCTGGGAAGAGCTCTGTGGAATGCATGGCTTGGGGAGGTGGTTCGACCTGTGAGGCCCAAGGGATGGAGACGTTTCCCCTCAGTGGGGAAGCACCTGGCTGCATGACCTGGACTTCTTCAGCAAACTACAAGGCCCTCTTTCCTGGCCATAGAGTTCCATGGGAAGGGTTTCCATGAGCTGCAGGGATGGGTGGATGGTCATTTGCCAAGCCTGGTGGGAGTTGGGAATCCTTCCCCCCCCCCCCAAAAAAAAGAAAAAAGAAAAAATACCCTGGCTTTGGTTCCCAGGTCTGTGGGATCTGGCAGAGGGAGGGATTGGGTTCCTGAGTTATGGAGTGGGGGGGGGGGGAGGTTCTGGGCTATGGGACTTGGTTGGGAGAATAGTTTGCTGGGCTGTGGGGGGCCCAGTTGGCAAGGGGATCACTGGGCGGTGGGGGGCGCAGTTGGCAAGGGGATCACTGGGCTGTGGGGGGCGCAGTTGGCAAGGGGATCACTGGGCTGTGGGGGGCCCAGTTGGCAAGGGGATCACTGGGCTGTGGGGGGCCCAGTTGGCAAGGGGTTCCCTGGGCTGTGGGGGGCCCAGTTGGCAAGGGGTTCACTGGGCTGTGGGGGGCCCAGTTGGCAAAGGGATCACTGGGCTGTGGGGGGCCCAGTTGGCAAGGGGTTCCCTGGGCTGTGGGGGGCCCAGTTGGCAAGGGGTTCACTGGGCTGTGGGGGGCCCAGTTGGCAAAGGGTTCCCTGGGCTGTGGGGGGCCCAGTTGGCAAGGGGTTCCCTGGGCTGTGGGGGGCCCAGTTGGCAAGGGGTTCACTGGGCTGTGGGGGGCCCAGTTGGCAAAGGGTTCCCTGGACTGTGGGGGGCCCAGTTGGCAAAGGGATCACTGGGCTGTGGGGGGCCCAGTTGGCAAGGGGGTTCCCTGGGCTGTGGGGGGCCCAGTTGGCAAGGGGTTCCCTTGACTGTGTGGGGCCCAGTTGGCAAAGGGTTCCCTGGACTGTGGGGGGCCCAGTTGGCAAAGGGATTACTGGGCTGTGGGGGGCCCAGTTGGCAAAAGGTTGTCTTCCGGTGAGGCTTACCTCCGTTTTTTTTTGGACTCGTTGCCCTCTTCTTGGTTTTCGATACTGTCTCGTTTTTTTGTCATTATCTCTTCTCTCCGTGCTCTGTCTAGGCACTGCTAATATTTTGCAATACTCTTTATTGGTGCCCTCCCCACTGGGCGGGGTTGTGCGGTTTGGACCAATGATGCGGGAAGAATCGAAGACCTTCCCAAACCCCTAAGATTTCACAGAAGCAAAAACAAAATCACAAAGGCTCATAAAGGCACAGTCGCACCCGAGACCAAAAGTCATGCAGAACCCCGATAACAGGGGAACATGACCCTGACATGGTGGAGAAGTCCTGTCCCAGAGAAAAGGAAGTAGAAACAGAAAAAGTACCCACCAAATGGACGGAACCAAACAGACCTGAAGGAACAAGGATCTGAACCCAGGGAGGGGCTGATACCCAACCACTCATATGCAGAGGGGGGGGGGGGGAGGAAGGAAGGAAAAAACCCATTCCCTGTAACCACAAGCCTCGCACTGAGGGTAGAAAACCCCGGTGAGGTCCAATGGCTCCCCAAGTCAGCCCCTCCCCAACCCTGGGAACCTTCTCGGCAGGCCCCGGGGCCGAGCAGTTTCCCCAAGGCCCCAGCCTCACAAGAAAAAGCCAGGGCAGCCGGAAAAGTACTTAGGAAGGGAGCCCACTGGCAGACTCATACAACCCGACTGGAGGAACTGGCTCGAATGCCTCCATTGCTACCCCGTAAGGGGAAACCCCTGAGACCGCCCGAGTCTCAAGACCATCGAATCCCCGCCCCGACCCCACAAATGGAAAGGATCCAGATGCAGGGAGGAAGGAAGGGGAGACCAGACAAAATCACAACAGGGGGAAAGACAAGGGGGCAAGGAAGGAACAAAGCCGAAGCAATCAACACCCCCAAGCCCTGTCACAACCAAAACGGGGCAGCCTCGGGGCTTCTGGGGAGCAAACAACCTAATGCGTTGCAACCACCTGAACCCAACGTGCAATGCCCGTGCTGCCTACACCCGCATAGTCAGCATAAGACCGGGTAACCGAGTCACAAACAAGCAAAGAAACTCACAGGACTCCAGATCGAAAGTGCCACCGACCCCACAGGCAGCAGACGGAGGCAAAAGCAATGATAGTCACCCTGAGACAAGGGGACAGAGCAACCCCCGAACTCGCACAAAGCGAGGGGGGGGACTCAGGGGTCACATCCATCGGACCCACGCGCCCCCATGGGGATTTCCAGGGTCCTGAGACGGAACTCACACTCGAGGAATCCCAGGCAGGGTACTGCTAACCGGCGCCCAAAACTACCAAGCAACTTCTAAAGCTGAACCTCAGAGACGTGTATACTCATGGGGACCTAGCAGGGGGCACCACCAGAAGAAAACTGTATTAGGTCAGATATCAAGGGGCAAGCAAGGCAGACCCCCCCCCCCCCAAGGCACAAAAAAACAAAAACTGGAAGAGGACAACGTACCCAAAGGAACAGAGCCAGCCGCTATGAATGGTGAAAACAAACTGCGCAGCACCCTGTGCCCCGTACCAGGGCAAACTGCCTCTTACCCTAAGGTAAACAAGGGAGACAAAACACCCAAGCACCCAAAGGGCGGCCGAAAAACCGAGCAGTTAAACAGCCCAGCAGAGGCAGGACCCAAGGAACTTGTGGAAGATAACCCCCAAGCCCCAAAGGCAGTACTGTACTTACAGGGCATCTAGGGAAGGGAACCTTAGGCGCAACTCCCCCCTTTCCCCTCCCCGGGATAGAGAAGGGGGAGCTGCGCAGACAGTGGCGTGGTGGCATCATGCTCGTTTGCTTGTTTTGTTTTGCAAAGTTCTATCCACTTGTTTGGCTTTTGGTAGCAATTTTCACCAGATTAGGGGTTTGTTTTGGGACGCTTACCTTTCTGGGTGCCTGACCCGGTCGATGGCTGACATAGAATGCTTCCAACCACACGGGGGTTTCTATAGGCCATTGCTCCTTGTGCCTCTCTGAGGGGGCCAGGTTCTGGCTCGTGGTCCCCGGTAGGCCCACAGAACTCCATAAAAAAAACAGAGTTGAATGTAATGAAACGCTATTTTCTGAGTGAGACATGGAGGCTCCCCGGAGCTTTACCAGCCTGATATGCTAATGTCAAAGATTTTGGCATCAGTCATGTGTATGGAGTTCTAGGGCCTACCGGAAACCACGGCCAGAATCTGGCCCCCTCAGAGAGGCAAGGGGAACAATGGCCTATAGAAACCCCCGTGTGGTTGAAAGCATTCTAAGTCTGCCATCAACTGGGTCAAGCTTCCAGAAAGGTAAGCATTCCAAAACAAACCCCTATTCTGGTTAAAATTGCTACCAAAAGTTGAACTAGTGGATAGAACTCCCCAGCAGAAAACAAGCAAACTGGTATGACGTCACACGTCACCGCGCCGCTGTCTGCATAGCTCCCCCGGGAGGGGGAAGGGGGAGCCCCAGACCTCTCACGCCAGCTATCCGCCCTTCAGTTCTGAGACTGGATGTCAAAACACGCGAAAAATCGCCGACTGGAGGGAGGGAGAGTTGCCAGGGAGCCTCCGGGTCTCACCCAGAAAATGGCGTTTCATTACATTCAACGCTGGTTTTCTGGGGGGAGCCCCGTTGGCTCCCCGGAGCTAACTACCCACAGAAGAAGGTCAAAGGGACAGAACCGGGAGGCGGACACCATGCACTTCTCAACGGAAGCGAGACAACCGGCAGCAAACGCCAACCCAAAGCGACACAGCCCCGAAAGGGCCTGAGAACAACACGAGACAACGAGCAGCAAGGACCCTGTATGAACACTAAAAGATCCGTGCCAGAATGACAACAAGAACACGCTCCCAGACGGCAGCAAAAGCAGCGAAGCCACGAACGTCACAGACATGGGAAAAGAACACAGGCAAGCTAGCTGCAATAACACGGCAGACAACCTGGGACACCGTCACCCGCGAACAGGGAAGAAAGGAACCGGATCAACTCAAAGCGCGCCCTGGACATAGAAGCCGCGGCTTGCAAATAAGAGCGGAGGGCTGCCACTGAACACAAAACACAACACACCTCCAGCCCGACCAACCAAGCACCAACAAACCAAGGACCCCTCCGGAATGCAGCAGCCCCATCTCGTGCCAGAAAAGATGGAGACTGCTGCCACCGAGCAACCAAAATGCCAAAACCGAAGGAGCAGAAAACCCCTGCGGAGGAGAACAAGAAGCCCAGCGACCCGACCCCCAGAGGCAAATGCCAATAGGAAAAAGAGCCGACGAAAAACAAACCGGAACTGAAGGGGCACCACCAATCAAGAAGACAGAGCACGCTGACCAGAGGCCAGGATGATGCAAGCGGCACACGAACAGGCCGGAGGTGAAACAACGCACGAGACAGCTTACTAACGGTGCAGAAGCAACACCAAGACCAGCGCCGCATGAAACGAGGCGACAGTATGTGGCAAGACGACGGCCCCCCACCCCCACCAGAAAAACCAAGCCGACGCTAACAACCACAACCACCTAAGAAGGGACAGGAGGAAAAGGAAGGACCGCCAAAATACCCCATATTGCCACCAAGAAGGACGCAAGTGGGACACTAACAAAAAAGCCACCAGACCACCAACCGGAGGCAAGACATGCGAGGCAGAACGTAATCAGCCCTCGACAAGGCTCATCCGAGCCCAGGAAAAGGTGGAGCCGCGGGAAGATCTCGGGCGCGACCACCAAAGCCCAGGCCAGCACAAAGGAGATGGAATGTCTGCCAAACAGAAAGCTACCCAATGCGAGCAAGCTCGCCAGGAGATCAGAAACGACGGGTCTGATGCGAGACATCGCAAGACCCTGAAAAACCAACAGGCAGGGCACGCCAAGAAAACCGAAGAAGGCGTAAGGGTTGCCACCAGAACAGTACCCGAATCAAGGGATACGAGCAACAAAAACAGTCCAAATCACATAAGCGCACCATATGACACAGGCTGAAAGAATGCCCAAAAAGCCAAGGAACGTACGAAGAAAACCCCTGCAGCAGAGGAGAAATAAAGGGAACGCACAAAGAAGGGAAGCGGCGGAAACCGACTCCCCCAATACAACAGCAAGTGCAGGCAAACCGAGCAAAGGAGATGCCAGGGAAGCGACAGGGGAGAGGAAGGACGAAAGAGCCAAAGCTCAAACCCCAGGAAACACAACCAGGGGTGGACAATCAGGTGTGGACAGAACCCCACGCACATGGAAGGGCCAAGCCAGGAACCCGAAGACCACGAAAATAACACAAGCAAACCCCCATATGCAAAACCCAGGTACAAAACAGCAGCAAAGTGCCACACCACAACCTGACACAGGAACAAGGACACGCCACCGTGAAACACGTTACCAATGCACATGTGCCGCAGCAACATGCACCACATGCAACATGTATGTAGCAACATGCCACTGCAAAGGCAGAGAACAGTGCAGGCAGACTCCAGGGCGACCCCAGACAGGGCCAACGGAGACGACAGAAACCCAGCATGCCCAGAAACCTGCACACCAGGCGACCGACGGCAGAGATACCTGCTTGAGACCTGCTTGATGGGGTTCCGGAAGTTCATTTACTCCCCAAGCCCGGCCCGAGGCTAGGCTTGACTTTTGAGAGGTTGGTCCACCAGGCTGTTGCTGGGAGCAGCCCGCAGGCTCACATACACACCACAGCCAGGATGGGTCGGAACCTCTATTAGAAAACAGGATAGTGTTCTCATGAAGAAGTCCACGGATGTACCGGCAATATGGCGTATGCTCGCAGGTAGGACATTTAACAACCGCAGACCTCTGATGTGTATAGTGTTCCCTGATTCTGCCGATGGCACCACTGCTCTCCACTGGTACTATCCAGCATGTTCTACCAATATAGGCGGGACCAAAGAGGCAGAGCTCAAACCCCGCAAGCACAACCAGGTGAGCCCTACCAGGTGAGTACATAACCAGCACCACAACTCCCACACCTCATAACACGAAAGAGGTGGGTCCCCTGAATGACTCTAGCATGGGTTGGACATGCCTATGAGTGGGACTGGAAGGGTTGAAAAGGGACATATAAACATCTCCGCATCCAGCGCCCGGCCGAAAGACGCCAGACCGCAGTAACTCACCTGTCGAACGGAGGCACGAACGTGACATGACCCAGCAGTGCCAAGAAGATCCTGGGAGCACCACCAGGTGAAGAAGCCAGAGCTGGACACGCAGGAGAGCAGGGTAGTGGCGAAGGAGGAGGCCCACACCCCTGACACAGGAAAAACCTCGGCGTCCTCCCCACAGCTGTATGTAATCTAGGACACCCCCGGAGCGATGGGGCACATACCGGAGAAGGGAAAAGAGCGAGAGGCGAAGCACCCGAGAAAAAAGGGCGCTAACACCAGCACTGAAACACACCGCCCAGACCAAAACAAACTCCCACGGCGCATGTGCAGGACATGCTGGCCAAACCGCACAACTCGCTCTGCGGGAAGGCGTCAACCAGGACTACTGCACAAGAAAAGTAGCCAAACAGAACGCAACCCTAGGAAACTGCTAATTAGAAAAAACAACCCATCACACGGGACAGGAGCCAAAAGAGGAAGCAGCGACAATATAACCGACCAACGAAGCGAAGACAAGGAGCTCAATGGGAACCCAACCGGGCCACGAGTAGCCCAACTGGGCTACAAATAGCCCAAAACGGCGACCCGGACTAGGAGCTGACAGATGTTCCAATAATATAGGAAATTGCGAAAACCTTCCCAAACCCTCGAGAACACAGAAGCAAACACCAGTCCTGAAGGCATACAAAGGCACAGTCGCACCCAAGACCAAAAGTCACGTAGAACCCCAAGAATGGGCAAACATGACGAAGACACCCCATCTCCCCCCCCCCCCCCCAAAAAAAAAAGGGGGGAGCAACGGAGAAGAGCACCCACCTATAGGACGGAGCCAACCGACTCAAAGAACAAGGAACAGAGCCCGGGGAGGGGCCGACGCCCAACAACTTGTACGGCGAGGGGGGAGGAAAACCCCACTCCACGTAACCACAAGCCCGGCCTAGAGGGGAGAAAAAGGGGCTGGGGCAGAACCCAAGGAACTTGTGGAAGGTGGCCCCCAAACCCCATGGGCAGTACTTACAGGGCACCTAGGGAAGGGAACCCTAGGTGCATGCAGCCCGAGTACTGGAGACTCACTCCCATCTCACGCACCACCTAGAAGACAGACACCACACTCTAGGTAAAGTGCTGAAACAACTAATGGAGCCGGAGCACACAACCGGTGCCTATAGCATCAGCCGAAGAACTGATGGGTGGATAGCCGGTGTTAGAGGTCTGGGGCTCCCCCCCCCTTCCCCCTCCCGGGGAGGGGGGGAGCTGCGCAGACAGCTGCGCGGTGATGTGTGACGTCATACCATTTTACTTGTTTTCTGTTGGAGAGTTCTATCCACTAGTTCGGCTTTTGGTAGCAATTTTAACCTGAATAGGGGGGTTTGTTTTGGAATGCTTACCTTTCTGGATGCTTGACCCAGTCGATGGCAGACATAGAATGTTTCCAACCACACAGGGGTTTCTAAAGGCAATTGCTCCCCTTGCCTCTCTGAGGGAGCCAGGTTCTGGCCATGGTCCCCGGTAGGCCCTAGAACTCCATACACATGACTGATGCCAAAGTCTGGCATTAGCATATCAGCCTGGTAAAGCTCCGGGGAGCCGACAGGGCTCCCCCTAGAAAGTGACACACAACTTTGCAAGATTGGAGCCTAGATTAAAGAGGCTGTTGCAATTGCTTCGTACATTTTTCATAATGCTTCATTAGGTTTTCCTTTGATGTTTAATATGTAAAATAGCTAAATTATTGTTTTAATTTTTAAATACAAAATACCTGTAGTACTTCTATTAAAACAATATCTTCCTTTTTTTATCTTAAATACAAAATAAAAAGGGAAGGGAGTACCACCTCTGGCTGGAAGAAGAGGACCCTTAGCCTCGGAGGAAACCACACATAACGCATTAGAGGGAATGTTTAGGTCCCCTCCAATACAGTTTGTGTGTGCTTTTCTCCTAACACCCCCCTTCCTTTTGAGTTTTTTTGCTTTATTATGTACTTAAAGGTTACAAGATATACATTGGTTGATACAAAGAGTGCTTAAAGGTTATGGATCTCTTGAAGCTCTTCTGCTTCTAGACAGGAACCCAGGATGCAGCAGGCGTTTCCCCTCTGGATTGCCACACTGAGCCGCTGAAACAAAAAACTGGCAGCTCTTGGGTCTCTGGTGACGTCAATAAGCGTGGAGCCCAATTCCTTGAGAAATCCCATGGCACTCTTGCCCCGGGGCCATGTGTCTCAGATGCTATGGGAACAAAGGTGTATCGACCTGTAATCGCCTGTATTTGGCTGATTTTGCTATTTCCCTGTGGTTGGCCGCATCACCTGCTTGATCAGCTCTGAGGTGTACATAGGTGTCAGCCAGGGTGGATACACATGTGTAGTCCCACACCAACTGTCTGCCCTCCTTCCAGGAGTATATGGTGATGCCATCAGGGCGAAGTGTAAAATATATAATGAATTGAAAATTATTTGGTACTTATCATGGCACCTTTTTTTATGTATTCACTCCCCACGACTTTATACCATGACTATAACACTGACCCAAATGACACACTTGAACAAATGCAACAATTAAATTATTAATGACTTAAGAACCTTACCTGCACCACTACACTAAACACATCTGGTTCCATTTTGCCTGATATAGCCTGGGTCATCTTGTGCTTCTCATGTTGTCGCATGTGTGATCTGAAACATGTTGCCTTTTAGACAAAAACCTAAGTCTTTATAACTTTCATTGGAATTTCATACACATCTGACTTTAAGGACAGTACCAATTTGCATGAAAGCATAATAATTACAATTTGCCACATTTTAATTACAATGTCACATTACTACTACACTTCAACAAATAGCTTTTATGCTCACCTGTAAGAGTCCTCTCGCACAAATCCGCTACCACACTCGTTACATTTAAAACTACGGTAACAAGATGGTCTATTGGCTCTCCTGCCCGCGCTGTTTCCCCCTGTACCATTACGCCCGCGGCTTACCACCCCGCTGTTTCTGGTCGTTCCTCGTTTGCGACCAGACACATCACAACCATGTTTATTTCTAACGTGATATCGAAGATTACCTGTTAAAAATTATACAAATTTTATTAACTTACAGATTCACAAGAAATACAGATGTAAATATGAAAAAACCAGCATTGAATGTAATGAAATGCCATTTTCTGGATGAGCCCCAGAGGATCGTTCCTAAGGTAAACCTGCAGAACAGTAGCAGCCTCCTGCCATTCAAGCGTTCGGGTCCGATAAAATCCGTGCCATGCTCCCTGCAAAAAGAAAGGGCAGTCTGCAAGCCAGGAAGACTCAGACCTCATAATGCACCCAATACGGGGAAGAAGAACCGAACTCAAATGAGAACGGATCCATCACAGAGGCAAAATCCGGGTCTCACAGGAAGTAAGCTGCAAGAGCCTCCCGAACCTCCTTAGGGGAGATTCGAGAGGCAGAAAACCTCCAGAAGAAAAAAGGATCCGACGAACCGAAGGGAACCCGGAGAGGAGCCGACCCCAAATCATACTCGTACAGGGAAGGAGGGTAAGACAACCCCTTTCCCCGCAACAACAAACCCCACGAAGAGGGAACCAAACTCCAAGCGGGATCAAAAGGGGGCCCAAGCATCCCCGGGTCTTGTTATTATATTATTATACAAAGAATACCCAAATGACCAGCTTGCTATTATACAAGAGGTAACAATACCCTCAGCACCCTCCACAGGTGATAATCAGAAACATAAGGAAAGTTAATTAATGCTCTGTTAACTACTGGTTACAAAAATAATTAGTCAGGTGGCAGCATCCACCAACGTGTCGGCAGAGTTGGCAATCTTTACTTCGTGATAAACATCCACCATTTCTTGATCTTACTTCTGTGATGACCAATAGCATAAGTTTTTTTTAGATAGTTTCTCAATAAACTTTAGTCTCTGTTTAAGGGAAATTCATGCTTGAAAGTTTGCTTCATGGGTGTATAACCTAGTTTTGTGTATATGACTGACTATTGCCATCCACTACAGCCATGTTTAGGGTTATCTTCCCTGGCATTGTTTAAAGTAGATCTTCAGCCCTCGAGATTATCTTTTCTGAAGCTGCTTGCTGTTCAGCTCAGTTCCTCTTCAGTTGTTCCGCTGTCTCGGTTATGCCTAGGGACATTTTTTCAATAGTTTAATTTGATTTAGTCATTTTATGGATATTACGTACTAACACAATAATTGTACGACAAAAACTTGAATACTCTAAATTTTTTGGGTGCTCTTAGAATTGAGTCAGGGAAAGTTTAGTGTCAACCAGAAACCACAAGCATTTTTAAGGAGTCTTCAAAGAGCAGTCGTTATGAATGATTACACACGAGTGAATAGTCATTTGTATAAAAATTCCTGCATGAGTAAAAATGTGGAGAGAAGGCTCATTACCATTTTGAGCCAACTGCAATTATTACAATTTGGTCTGACTGAAAATCTATACTTCAACAACACTAAGTGGAAAGTTATGTTCTAAGAGTTAACCTAAAGTTTACCTGGAATGGGTTCCGAGAGATCTAGTCCTCAAGTATGTTCTGGGGCTCAGCAAGAGCCACCCTAGATTTCATTGGCGTTTCCACAGCCTTTTAATCTATTCACTAAAGTACAGTACACTAATTTGAAAATACACATGTAAAAAGAAGGGAATATAAAATTTAAAGTAACAAATTGTTGCTTACCTGTAGTTTTGCAGGTAAATGAGCAGTAGCGGCACTGAAATGGTTTTTCTTGGGAATGTATTAACATGTGTTGTCTGAGCCCAGTACTGCTGGTGCTGACGTGGTCGCACAAGTCACACTGCAACAACACATCTACCAAGGAATGATAGATGAATACGACATCCAAATGCTGAATAAACTATAAATACAAGCCATGTACAAACCATATACAATCACAACCAATGTTAATATGATGTTTACTAGTAACTCATGAAAAGGATTTACTTCAAGCCACAGAACATCTAATTAATATGTAAAAAAAAAAAAAAAAAAAAAAAGAGCGTTGAATGTAATGGAAAGCCATTTTCTGGGCGAGTCTCGGAGGCTCCCCGGAGCTATCCAGGATGATATGCTAATGTCAGACTTTGGCATCAGTCATGTGTATGGAGTTCTGTGGGCCTACGGGGGACCACGAGCCAGAACCTGGCCCCCTCACAGAGGCACAAGGAGCAATGGCCTATAGAAACCTCAGTGTGGTTGGAAGCATTCTTTGTCTGCCATCGACGGGGTTAGGCACCCAGAAAGGTTAGTGTCTCAAAACAAACCCCTAAACGTGTGATGCTGAACCTTTCTCCAAGATCAAGAGGCATACAGGGTGATCTTCTGAATAAATTTTAAGCACTCCAGTGTTAAGCACACGCAGCGGCTCCGCCAGCACCAGACGATAGTAGGCGACAGTATTCGGCATAAGATGACAGCCCTGAAACAACCAAGAAAGAAAAGACAAGATAAACTTAACCGACAGTGAAGTACACATATGTACACATGGCAGACATAAAATGCTTCCAACCACATGGGGGTTTCTATAGGCCATTGCTCCTCGTACCTCTGTGAGGAAGCCAGGTTCTGGCTCGTGGTTCCCAGTAGGCCCGCAGAACTCCATACACATAACTGATGCCAAAATCTGACATTAGCACATCAGCCTGGATAGCCCCGGGAAGCCGACGGGGCTCCCTCCCAGAATAAAAATGACATTATGAGAAACACTAACTTGAATGGGATTTTTCATGGTCCTTCAGCTGTTTGCGACTGTTACCCAGAAATTCACATTTGGTGCAGCTGAATTTTGCCCCTTTGTAATGATTCAGTCTCATGTGTACCGTTAAATTGGCTGTGAAAAAACAAACAAAAATTAGGATGTTCAGTGAAATTAATCCCTCCTTTCAGAGGCTCTCTCGGATGCTTCCTTCACCCAGTGACCTATAATGGTCCATGGAGACGGTCCCAACACCAGGCTCTAGTAACCTGTTCACCCCACCATGAGCACCAACATTCAAAATAGTTTTGTTATATAGTTATATATATATATCTCAAGCCACCACATATAAACCATCTATCATACAAATACAGTAAATGAATACCAGAGTAAACAAACCCCCTCCAAACTAATATACAGTATAAATCAAATAACATCAGTTATCATCTGCTATCTATCATATCTGTCACCAGGTGGCAACACCACCACAACAGGCTTGGAGCCAACAACCTCACTTTTCGTACTCAGACCTTTTGTATGACCCCCATCCATGTATACATTGAACTATGGAGGACATCACACAACTCTGGTGGACATAAGTACCATCAAACCCATTACTAATTATGCTGTTAAGTCCCACACATGTTCTACTTCCTGCATAAAAACTCTTCAACACATGTAATAACATTCCATTAATCAATACATGCTCAAACAATTTACTCCAGAGACCTTCGATATTCACTCCATCATATGCTTTTTTCCAAATTAAAAAATGGTATATACACTTTATAATCATTCTCACGTGCTTCTCTACACTGCCAGTATCTGATCCACACATCCCCTTTCTACAATGGAACCTTAGTTACCTTCTTTACTCATCCAATCACTATGATGCACATACACATTTTCCCACTACACATGTAAGTATAATTAGGGTACTTTTTCCAATCGTGGAACTTAACCACTTCCCCAAACTTTTGGACAAAATTTTCTACAACTATTCCATTACCTTCTGAAAGCATAAATTATTAAATGTACTTTTGAAATGGTAATGGAATGGTTGTGGTCTTTGTATGAAATCAAGAAATTTGTAAAATAAATAATGGCTGATAAAGCAACTTACACTTAATAGCACAAGCATAATCACAGGCCGAACACTTGTATGGCTTCACCCCAGTGTGAAGTCTCTCATGACGACGAAGATCAGAACTTGTCTTGAAAGCAGCTGAGCAATTTTCTATCATACACTGAAATGGTGTATCTCCTGAAGTAAATAAAAATGTTTTAAGTTAATTTTTGGTGATACAAAACTTTTATAGTTCTGTTTGAGGCAATAAAAATAATTTAAAAAATGATGAAAATATTTGTGATTATTTTCAAATCAGTAAGAACACTTAGTTCCTTTTCAAAGTGAGTGTTTTGAAATATCAAAAATAATTCTTAACATCCATTTATTATTTGGTCTAGATTATTGTTATTCCTCCTGCCTTTATGAACTCTCCTAAAAACATCAAATCCACTTGAGAATGTGACAGGGTAAACATTTGCAGTAAGCAAGCATGGAGGAATAAACCACAGCTTGGAAGGCCCAGATCTGAACCCTATTTTCTCCTTAATTATTGAAGATATCAGTCCTACCAACCTGTGTGTGTTCTGAGATGTACTGTCAGTTGAGAACCATCTCGGGCACTATATGGACATAACTGGCATCTGTGAATGCAAAGGTGTACAATTATGCATCAAGCAGCAATTTTATTGAAAAATAATAACTACTGAAGAAAACACCTAATTTCCATTGTCAGGGACAAGAAGCCTGTACTTAACACTTTAGTGCGCGCGGCACTCGCTGGAAAAAAAACGGGTTGTGCGCTCGGCGTTCTGGGCGCTCAAGCGTAAACACAAAAAAGTTTATAATCTTTTCACGCTCCTAACATCAATTCTCGAGCTACGTTTTTCATTTTGGTATCAATGCGTTGGCAATAAAATTCTCTACAAGATCATATGCATAAAATGTCACCCAAGCATTTGCTATCCCACCACGAAGTAAATAAACACGAAGATGACTCGCTGTGACACCCAAACAGGAAGTAAATGTTCATACTCTTTCGTTTGTTGCCAGCCTCACAGTCATCCTACAGCGCTTATTTTGATATCACTGAACTCGCAATAAAATTCCCCACCCAGACATATGCCTATCAATGTCTAATTATGTTCCGCACGAGTGTGGGAACTGGGCGAAGCGTTAGCCGTGATTTCAGCAGCGACGACACTGTTGTGATGCAGCGCTTTGAAAGTTTATACTTATTTCACTGTCATGACATTATTTCTCGAGCTATGTACAGTATTTCATTTTTATAATAATGTGTTCGCAATAGAAAGTTCTATAAGAACATGGGTAGAATTGGCCAACAGAGCGTCAAATAAATTTGCGGCGAATAAAATCTTACGCGTGTTTGTACCCGTGAGCGTAAAAAGTTTTTACTTTGCTCATGTTTTTTCAAGTTTATACTTGATTCACTCCGTTTTTTTTTGTTTATATAGTGTTCGGAATAAAATTCTCTACACAGACATATGCATATAAATGTAGAATCATGATCGCGGCCAACACAAGAGTGTGTGGAGTGCGCGATTACCCTCGTTGTGTCACCAATTCAATAGTCTCTCCTCTAAGTTACAATACATTGCCGTTTTCTCAAATAGGCACAGTGCCTATTAGAGAAAACAAAAATTTAATGGCAAACATATTCATACAAACCCCAAGTCGATCAAGTAGTAAATACCCAATATAAAACACGGTCCGTAAATTTACGTCGTGATCCGACAAGGGGTTAAGCAAAACGCCCATAATTCCAAGTCGAAAATCCAGGGAAGTGTTAAGTTGTTGGCCTAGAGGTCCAATATAGGCCAACAACTACCTCCTCCAGGATGTTTCCCACAACAGTTGCCTAACTCACTGGTATCTATTTACTGCCAGCTGAACAAGTAACATGCCTAACCATTTCTGTACTGCTTGGGGATTAAACCTAGATCCCTTTAGTGAGAGACTAGAATGTAGACCACTGTGCTATGGTATCCAGAATAGGAAACGAGTGCCAAATTTAAACTTGCTATATTAAATATTGATATTCAGTAGGGTGTTGTATTTCTGATATGGCCAGAATCTCTCATGTCTTTATTAAGGAATATTGATGTCTGAAAAATCAGCATTGAATGTAATGAAACACTTCTTGGTCTTAGGACAAGGTTTTGTTTTTTCTCTTCTCTCCTTGGTTTTCTGCTGCCCCTTTGGCATTGTTTCCTCAAGGCTTTGTTTTTGTTGGACCTAACTTCTGGTTGTCAGGTTGGGGAGCTTCATGCTCTCCTCGGGATGCTTTTTTTGGTCCTGCAGGTAATTTTTTTCATTAACAGCATTCTCTGTCCTTTTTGGCCAAGAGATGGCTGGTTTCCAGAGGAGTCCCTTGGTGACTTGGTCCAGTCTGTCATCCACATTATCATCAAGCTTGGCCAACTTGCAGTCTACTCTCAGGCCCGTAATATTTGTACGTTTTCAGTTGTGTGTGTTTTTCATTAATGTCTTTGGTGGATAATCAGGCTCGGGGGTTTTGACGGTACAACAGAGTGCTAGCAACTTGTTACTTATTGAATGTTCTTTGTCTTCACCAAGCTTGTGTGAATTTGGGGTGGTTAACTCTTAGTTAATTTCCCCTTTCATGGGAAAGCCCTATTATATTATACTATATGACAGTGCTAGGAAGACGGGACACCACGAGCGTAGCTCTCATCCTGTAACTACACTTAGGTAATTACACTTAGGTAATTACACGTGTATATGTGTGTCTGAATATATATATAAAAATAAAAATAAAAATAAAGAAAAGAAAAAGACAAGCTACTGACCAGTGGGCAGAGAGCACCACGCCAGCCAGGCGAAGAAGGCACCAAGAAAGCACAAAAACTGCACCAAAAGGCCCACCTCAACAACAAAAACCCAAGACCCTGGTACGACCACAACACCTGCCTAGATCCAAAAAGATCAGCCTGCAAACCAGGAAGACCCCGGAACCCCAGAAGGCAGAACCAGGTCACACACGAGGTAACAAAGCCCCCTGAACCCACAAAGGGGGCCCAAGAAGAAGAAACCTCTGGAACTAAACCAAAGAACCCAAAAGAACCTGGAATCGAACCCGGGAAGCCCAAACTACCACATTTGCCAGCGGAAATACACCACAGAAGGGCAAAGCACAGCTCCCAGACAGAACCCCCAGGAAAACAGCCAAAACAGACCAAAAACCGAGGGACAAGGTATGGGAGGAAGCATAAACAGATAGGGACACTGAGCCCAAACCCTAGGGTGCAGACCCAAAACAGACAGAAAGCAAAAAAACAGGTGTAAAAACCAACACCCAAGCGTTCCCAGAGGAACAGAAGACGGGCATAAAACACCAGTAAAGCAAAGAAACGGCAACAGGAGGATAAAACCCCCTGAAAGAGTTGAAAAGACTCACCCAAAATGCTAGCTCGCACACCCAGGCATATATAAACAAACTGCAGCACCGCCCTGGTGGCCAAGCGAGGAAACCCACAGACATCGGAAACCTGTAACATCGACTGGGGTGCCTAACCCCAGTCAATGGCAGATAAGGAAAAAGCCCAACCACAAGGGCGTTTTCCAGGACCCCCTGAAACCTCTCTGAAGGGGCCAGGTTCTGGCGCTGGACCCTGGTAGGTCTGAACTCCATAGCTAATGTCCCAGTCTAATATAACATACATTAGCCCAATAAGTTCCAGGGAGCCATAGGGGCTCCCCACAGAAAGAGCTGCATTTTAAATGTAACCAGGACACTAGACATACTCTACCTATATGGCCGTTCATTTGTGTGTGTTCTCAAATGCTTCCTAAGGCTGCCGGAATCAATGGCACGATACTGACAGCCAGGTTCTTGGCACCAGTAAGGTCGTAAATTGGAATGGATTCGTGCATGTACCTTCAACTTGTCTCCTCGGGAGAAGCAAGTCCCACACTCCTCACATCTGTATGGTTTTTCTCCTGTTTGGGAATGAAAGAAAATAATAAATTACAGTATTAAAAGTATTGTACTTGATTTTGGCTTTCAAATTATTTATATTTATAATACTGAGGATGTTCTTGGGTAAATTTACCATTAATACAAGAACAGTATAGTGATATCTTGACTCAATGAACCTTATAATTAAGCAAATCTCTGGTTGAAACACTTTTTATGCCAGATTTACTCACCGGATGCAATAAACAAGAGTTTATAATTCATTGTGTCGGGGGACAGGCAGCCAGAGTGTATTTATAGATGTTAGGCTTATATCGAGGCCCCCTCCCCCACCAAGGTCGACTTCCCGACTCCCTGGGTGCAAACCCCACAACAAGCTGACTAACTCCTGGGTACCTACTTACCTGCTGGGCAATCCTGTTTCCTACTATGCAAACAGAAAAATTAGGTGATGGAAAATGCTCCACCATTTCTCTCCCCTTGGGATTCGAGCCCAGAATTCTCGATTGTGACTCGAGAACGAACCGGGCTGTACTACCGGGACTCTTCAACCCGGGTTTGCTGAAGCAGGGTATGTGTGGATTTGCTTAGCATGTTGGAACCGAGTTCATAGATAGAGGCAACATTACAAGAAATAGTTGGACCTTGAGAAAGTCACTGAGTATATTTAAAACCAAATTCTATGGTTCTTTCTGGGGGAAGCCACATTGGCTCCCCGGAGCTATCCAGGCTGAATGGATATGTATATCTTTCTGGCATCAGTCAATGCATGGAGATCTTGCCTACCGGGGACCATGAGCCAGAACCCGGCCCCCTCTAGAGGCATGAGAAGCAATGGCCTATAGAGACCCCCCTCCTGTGGTTACTGCAGGATCCAATAAGTTCAGTAGAACTTCGGTTTCAACTCCTTTTGACCATGTCGTAGCTCAGTCGATTAAGGCAGCGTCTGGGATGCTCTCGGACGCAGGTTCGAATCCTTGTCACGGCCCTTGTGGATTTGTTCATTTGATGCATCACGAAATTGTGATTTCTGTGTGTAATGACGTCATGCTTGTTTGCTTGCTTTTGATTGGGGAGTTCTGTTTGCTAGTTCGGCTTTCGGTTTACAATTTTTGACCAGCAGTAGTTTGTTTTGGAATTCCTACCTTTCTGGGTGCCTGACCTGGTAGATGGCAAAGACTGCTTCCAATTACACGGGGATGTCTTTAGGTCATTGCTTCTCGTGCCTCTCTTGAGGGGACCAGGTTCTGGCTCTGGTCCCTGGTAGGGCTAGAACTCCTTCGACTGACTGTTGCCACGGTCTAATATATACACATCAGCCCGGTATAGCTACAGAGAGCCAAAGGGCCTCGCCCAGAAAATGGCATTTCATTACATTCAACGCTGGGTTTTTTAAAAAGACTTAGTAATTTTAAAAATAATAGGCTAGGAAAAAATAACCAACTTACCAGTATGCTTCCGTATATGACGATTAAGATCTTTGTTATGAGAGGTGGTGAAATTACAGTCCTTCACGGGACAGGCCTTTCCTTTGTGTATACCATCGTGAACAACCAAGGTCTGAAAAAGCCAAAGTATTCAGTGAGTATTTTTTTTTTTTTAGAATTTGCTACATCATCAAATTGTTGTTTAATCTGCAGCAGCATTTTATCATCCAACTTTTGTACAATCTTATGGGTTTTTATTCCTCTTGTGAATCTTATGTATCATTCTTAACTGCCACCTTCTTGCACACCTAGCAACACTTAGCTACTACCATCTTGCTCACCTGGCACCTTGTCAACACCAACAACAAACCTTTGGCCACTGTATCCTTTGCTACTGCCTTTATTACAAAGCAACAACTGGCACATCAACTTCATAGGCAAGTCAATGTTGCAGTTATGAAACATGTCAATTATGTGCATCTCTTCAAGTCATGGTTTTACTGTGAATGAATTGATCCTAAACAGATGCCATTTCTTTGCACATCCTTGTATTTGCTCAACTCTGAACACGTATGTCTGATGTATAAAGACACACACATCTCTCTGTACGATCACCAAACTCCTCATAACAAATATTCCAGAAGCTATTTGATATTCCTCGAGGATAAGTGGGCAGGTCACTTGTGCTCAATCACATGACATAATGCATCTCTACCTACCATAATTTCTAATATTATATGATCCTAGAACATGTGCTCCAAACTGTACTTAATATCTCCTTACTCACTAAAATATTCAGAAAAAACTATATTAACTCATAATATATTTGCCTTATATAAGTCTTAGTATTCTACTTTTATTTATGCTCAATGTTTAGCAAATTGTCTTGGCACTGTAGTTCCCTCCCATTGTTGGGGCAGGAAGCCTATACTCAGACTTATCAAAGTCCCCCCTAGGCCAACTATTTATCTTTTTCTAAATGCAGCTCACTACAGTTGCCCAACTACTAGGTACATATTTACTGCTATGTGAACACAGGCATCAGGTGAAAGGAAATGTGCCAAACAGTTTCTGCCCTGCCTGGAGATTGAACCCAGATATCTCATTTGTGAGGCGAGGGTGTAGACCACTGTGCTGCAGCTATAAGTTTTGTATGGCTGTAAACCTGTTCAGTTCAATTCAGCCACAAATGTAATAATTTATATAAATCATTTACAAATAAAATCAAAACAACGGAAATTACCTCTTGTGACAGTATTGTGATTTACAAAACCTTATTCCTACATTCTAATCCTGACTTTAAACTCTTCCTTGACAGGTGCAATACAACCCATGAGCATCACAGGCAGAAATAAATAGATTTTTGATATTGCTAGTCAGACTAAATCTGTGCAAACACTCCATGCAAATAAAAGGACTCAATATATGGAACACTCTTCCTAATCAATTAATAAATAATCCAATCTATATTTTATTCAAAAGGAGAACAAAAAGTACCTACAGTAACTTCATCTTCATAATATCTCACCTTATACTAGTAACTCACCCAAGTTATTACTGATGACATGCAACTTCATCAGTATAATCTTTTCTATCAAATTATAATGTAGTTATTATGTTGAATTCAAATTCTGTTACAATGACCTACTATTACTTTTACTGATTAGCTAAAGGACCTGCCCGAAACCCTATGTGCGTTACTGGCTTTGCAAGAATGTAATGCTTAATCACTAATGTATGTACTGTACTTCCACAACCCTATGTACCTTCTCTTTAATGAATAAATAAATAAATAAATAAATAAATAAAATAAATTAATAATTACTAAAATAAATCAAAATAAAATAATAAATAAAATAAATAATTACTAAAATAAATCAAAATAAAATAATAAATAAAATAATTACTAAAATAAATCAAAATAAAATAAATAAAATAACTAAAATAAATAAAATAACTAAAATAAATAGACAGGTCGTATGGGACTACACGTGTGCATCTACATTGGATGATACCTATCTACCTCACAGTACAGCTGAGGGAGGCGGGGTGGCCACCTTTAGAAAGACCCAGAACACTAACAAGTATTTGTACAGTGACCTAAAACATTGTTACAGTTTCGTGCCGATAGGCTCCGAGACCCCTGGTCGCCTGGGGTAAATGTGCCCTTAAGTTCCTAAAGAAGGTGGGTGAGGAACTTATTAGGAAAACTAAAAACACAAAAGGACCCAGTTTCCTGTTCCAGTGCCTCAGTGTTGCGATCCAGAGAGGAAATGCGTGCTGTATCTTGGGCACGCACCCAACCTCCGAGGAGCTGGATGAGGTCTTCGAACAGTGATTGTTATGCGTGTGTTTTCTGTAAACTGTATAAATAAAATAAATAAAATAAATATATGAAGAATGAATGAATGAATGAATGAATGAATGAATGAGTGAATGAGTGAATGAGTGATAAATACAGGGGGGAAATCAGCAGGTGCAGGGAAATGGAATTGAACTGTAACTCACTTCCTTTGCACAAACGCTGAGAACATCAGCTTTGCTCTCGACTGGCATGGAAGCATGAGGCAAATCTTCTGTTGTTCCTTTCATTGTTCTCTGCCCAGACCCTGCTGATCGCATTCCACTTCCATAAGAATCAACCTGCAATTAAAACTGGTTTAGAATACGTAAATATTATTTCATTACCTTTTGCCTAAATCAAGTCAGTTTTATACTAAAGCTTATTTATACTAAGCCTTAGTGTAAAAATATAACTTATGCAAAGCTTCACACACCAAACATTTTGCACATTTATGGGAGCATCTCCAATGAGGCACTTATCCTAGGCATTTACTCCCATGCCTTAATCTCTCAACTAAAGAATATATCTCAGTCATCCTTTTACCCACTCCTTCACCTTACACATAGCACCCATTTGTTTATTCACACACACATCATTCAAGTATTATAGCAGTCTCCGTGGTGTAGTGGTTAAGACGTTCGCCTCGCGTTTCGCGAGCGTTTTGTCCTGGGTTCGTATCCTGGCCAGGGAGGATTTACTGGGCACAAATCTTTAACTGTAGCCTCTGTCTAACTCAACATAAAATAGGTACCTGGTTGTTAAACGATTTTTGGCGGGGTTGTATTCCAGGGAACATAGGATTAAGGACTTGCCCAAAATGCTACCCGTACTAGTGGCTGTACAAAAATGCAAGAACTCTTGTACAGTGGCACCTCAACCATCTTTAAGAGTTTCAGAGGCCATCATTTGTGAAAAAGCAAGGAAATTGCATGAAGACCTCTTAAAGAAAACCCCTGGAACAAGTGATGCAAATGCAAAAGAGTTTAAGGCGAGCAGGGGATGGTTTGAGAAATTTAGAAAAAGAAGTGGCATTCATAGTGTTTTGAGTGTTGTGTGTTGAGAGCTGGTCAAGGAACACAGCGAAGAACTGACCACCAAAGACCTTCACAAGGAGCAGCAACAAGAGACAGCTGAGGAAATTTCTTCAGGGGAGGAGGAGAAAGTACAGAATATCCCTTCCTCATTAATTAAGAAAATGTGTACAGCATGGGAAGAATTGCAAACTTTTGCTGAAACGACTCATCCAAATCACGGGGCAGTAGGCCGTTGCCTTAACCTTTTTAATGACACTGATGCCTCACTACAGACAAAAATTAAAACACATGGAAAAACAAAAATATCTGGAAACATTTTTAGTGAGACAAACAAGCAGTGAATCACAACCAGGTCCTAGTGGTATGCAGGCAAAACATAAGAGAGAGTGTACCCCAGAGAAGTCATCACTGCCTAATGTTATAATGGAGGTGGACTCCCCATCCAAACAGTAGCATCTCTCCTCCTCCCTCCTCCTCACCAATCTTCCATACGCATCATGAGTCCTCCATAAAGGTAAGATAAACAGGTACTGTATTTTAACACTTTCGCGCTTTAAATTAGAGATAACTTGTCGCCGTTTTTTCTTACGATTCCGCATAACAGCCTACTTTTCTCGTCCATCGAAAAAATATTTCTATAAATTCCATTTTTTAACCGAAATGGATGGGGATACTCTCAGATTATATACGTTTTGTAGAGAATTTATTTGCGAATTTTTTGGTACCAGAATGAATATTATATCACATAAACTTTTATGAGTAAAAAAAAAATACACAAAGTATGTTTGGGGGTGTGGCGAGCGTGTGGCAGTGGGTTCCCTTTAGCCGTTGATATATCCAACACGTGGGAAATATTTGTATGTGTTATGTATATGTCTGTGTAGGGAATTTTACTGCGATCACTGTCATACAAATTATAAAATGTTTCAACAAGTATAAACATGACAAACATCAAACGAACGAAAACAATGCGTTCGTTTCTGCCGCGAACGCATACTGAGCGACGTGGTTCTATATTTGGCGCTTCTCTTACACATGCTTTGTACAAATGTTATACATTTCATCTTATAGAAAATTTTATTGCGAACACATTGGTATAAAAAAGAAATACGTACATAGAAAAGTAGGGTCAGGAAACGTATAAACTTTCCAAGCATGATTTCCCCCCTGTGTTTTCGCCAGTGCGCTCGCGGCTAACTACTCTCCACTTCACACACTCTTGCGGGTGGGCAATTACCTATATTAAACATTCATATGCATATGTCCGTGTAGAGAATTTTATTGCGATTCCAATGATACCAAAATTAGCGATGTAGGACAACTGTAGGCTTCGCAACCATTAAGAGAGTGGAAACATTTTGTTGCTGTTTGGCGCTCTCGGCGAGTGATCTGCATAGTTTTTTATTTGGTGTTGATACTCCTTATGCTTGGGCGGCATTTTATAGGTATGCTCTTATAGACAATTTCATTGTGAACACAGTGATACCAAATTTAAATACGTGCGCCTTCAATTATTGTCAGGACAGTCAAAAGAGTGTACACTTTTTCGGTCTTACCGCGTAGGCGCGTGAAGTGCCGAAAGCATCTGGGGTATTGTTTTTTTTTGAGCGCCGAGAGCGCGAAAGTGGTAATTAGAAAAAAAACATTGTATTCAGTATAAAATGTATTTGTAAGTTAATATTTTGGAGGGTGGGGAACGGATTAATTCAATTCCCTTTATTTCTTATGGGAAAAATCGCTTCAACTTACGATCTGTCTCTGGGAATGGATTACCATCGTAAGTCGAGGCCCCACTGTATATATAAATACAGTAACTAAAATAAAAAATAAATAAATAAAAAGTAACTCTAATCTTTATAGGAACTGAATGTATAGGTACAGAATATACAAAAACAGAGTATGCTACTTGCATATTTTCTGTGTGGGGAGGGTGACTGCCGCTCCTGGGGTCTACAACTAGTCACCAAGCACCCGTCACACAGCATGTTAATCAACAATAAAGTACTGTACTGTACAATAGTCTTCTGCCAACAAGAGGCAACTCAATGTGTCAGGTATTGCATTTTTCCCCATCATGGGAATGCCGGGTCACACCTGGCACTAGTACCGTTAAGTCCCATAAATCAACACCAACACATCACTGGCATATGCTACACTACATTCAACTTGCCTGATGTTGGTGCTGGATGCCAAGTTGGGCTTGTTGCTGGTGCTGTTGATGATGCTGGTGGTGATGTTGCTGGTGTTGGTGCTGGTGTTGGTGCTGGTTGGACTGGGTTGGTGCAGATGTGTAGTGCAACTGACCTTCACTGCTCTGCACGCCATTCACAACACTTGAAATCAGCTGTTCACTTACAACAGCTGCACGAGGAGTATGTAAGAAATCACGTTTGAGTGGATATATACTGTACATGAAAATGCCACGAGTCATGGCTGGGGCTTGAACCTCTGCTCGCTTGATGCAAAAGCAAGCACTGTACCACTGGACACCCACTCCACGAAGGTAGGGGTAAGTTTAAACATACTACGTTTGTTTAAACTGATGCAACCCTTATCTGGGTGCATTTGTTTGCATGGTCAACTATTTCATCAAGTCCAGGTTTAGGCAATGGAACATACTATATAATATATACATATTCAGTACTTTAGTAAAAACGTAGTTTTGTGCCGGATTACTAGGAACCAGTACAGTATATCAGATTTTGTCTAAGACAGCAACTGATATACTGAAAAGACAGGGAAAAGTAAAATCATTGGGTACTGCTTTCAACAGGAAATTAAGGTTAAGACAAAGCACTAAAAGCATATTACTTAATATAAAGAACTTACTCTTACTGAAAACAATGGCACACCCTAAACCACATTAATGTAAGCAAAGGAAACAGAAAACAGAGATCAGCTTCATCTGACACTTACTAGTAGTGTGAGGTGGTGCTGCCTGACTTGCCAGCTGTGTGGCCAAGAAAGTAGCCACATCCTCCTCCTCTGTGTGCATGCTGGATGTGGATGTTGTGCCTCCATCTCCCTCCATACCCCCACCACCTCTCTCTCGTGAACCTGGTGGTGCTCCATTGTTCCCTCTTCCAGCAGGTGTTTCCTCCACAATTACCCTTTTCTCTTCTGGAATGCCGACATTTCCATCTCTCTCAACAGGTCCTGAAGATGTTAACGTGGGTGCTCCACCAGTGTGCCAAGTCTCGCCTACATGTGCCAGTTGTAAGAGGGAACCACTTGATGTTCCATTTGCTGATGTGACTGGCCCAACCACTTGGTTAACTCCTTCCTGATAAAAGGGACGAAAATCTTTACCGACACTCTAATAACATGATTACTTAATTACGGTATACACACACTGAACACTTGTCATATACAGTACTGTACCTGTCGGTGATTCCCAGAATCAACGTTCCTGTGGTTCAGTTTCTGACCAGGCCTCCTGGTTGGTGGTCTGGTTAACCAGGCTGTTCGACACAGCTGCTTGCAGCCTAGCATACATGTCACAGCTTAGTTGATCAGGTATCCTTCAAAGTGTTTATAAAGTTCTCTTTTGAACACTGCAAGAGGTCAGCCATTTATGCCCAGTATGTGTAGATGGAAAGTGTTGAAAAGTCTTGGGTCTTTGATGATGATCTTATTCTTTCTGTGTGCCTATTGCATGTTGGTATGCAGTAATTGCAAGAGATTACAATACACCAATGTTCAGATTAGTTCACTTTGTGTGACCCGTTCAAGTGGGTCAAGACTCTAGGTCTCACATCTACCAGAGTGACAGGAGTGGATTTTCCTGCTGTATATAATTTTCACAGCTTTTCTTGTGTCACTCTTTGGTAAAGTAAAGTATTTTCCAGTGTATTTTTAATGTCATGTAAATAAACCTAGTTTATTCTAAACAGGTGTTTATATCAAACCACACCACAGTATGACTACTCCAACTTGCATTCAAGCACTGATAAATTTTGGGATTCCAAACCTTAATGCCTATAATCACACTTCAAACAAATTCTAATTCTGTAGGACCTGTATAGTCTACCCTCTAGATTGTTCCTAGCAGTTAAAGAGGCTCACCCAGTGGAGCTTGATCTGACACACTCATCTGAGGAAGGATACTCACTGAAGATTCAGTACTCGACTAGTGGTATTTCAGGTCGTGAATGGCTGCTCTTAGATGGGTTTTTCTTTTTTTGATAGCTTTTGCCTTGCAATCCCATATGCAAATTGGTTGCATGCAACTGCAGTCACATGAGAAAGGTCAAAATAATTGCATCCCCTCACATCCACCTAATTCTGTATACATAAACACACACTACATATACAATATACAATGGATTGTGTCAGAATATAGATTTGGGTGATTAGTTGGAATATTTTTGTAAAGCCACTGATATGGAGTGTTTTGGATAATGATATAGTATTGATAAAATTGTGCTAAATCAACATGAATACGTAGTAATACAGACTGTCATGAAATCAACCACGACCAAGTGGTAAATCAATTCTTCTAACCTGGTGATTGTGAGGGCTGTGGTGAGCATGACTGTGAGTGTGGGAGTTATGGCCTGGACTGGGAGCAAGGTGAGAGATGGGGCCTCCCGAGAGAGCCTGAGCCAAGATGGGAGCAGGACCCTGAAGAGAGGCACTTTGGGACGATGAGCTGGCCACACTGGGTTCTAAAACAATGCGATACATCTGTGGTGGACCTGATGCCGTCTGCAGGATGACATGTGGCATTCCTACAGGCACACCCATCTGCTAGGAAATTTACAGAATTAAAAAATTAAAAAGACAATAATGTTGACACTAACACAGTTATAAAAATCTTTCCTCCCATATTTAAGTTACAAAATGTGTTACATTATAAACCATAGTTTATAATGTAACATGAGTAGCATCATTAATGCTACTCATTAATTTCATTTAGTTTTTGCTATGAAAACTTTAAAACAATCAGATTAATTGAACTCAAGTCAAATAAATACAAAGTTATTAAGTATATCAGGAGAAGTAAAACTTTTGGGGTTGTTAGCGCTGCATTTCTTGTGAGAAAATTGCTTCAAAATAATAACAGTATTTCCCAATTAAGGGAAGGAGTAAATAGGGCTCCATTTTATGTAAAACTCTTGTACCCACAATTATACCTTTGTTTAATGTTCTTTGTATGCATTCTTGTAAATATTATTATTATTATTAACTGCCATGAAGGAAGAGTCCATTCAAAAATACCTGAATTAGATGGGCAACATTCTTCCATTCAAAAGCCAGTGCACCAATGAAGGTAATAGCAAAAATTAATAGCTCTGGTAATAGCAAAATACAAACCTAGGGCATGCAAACTGTGAATAGGGTATGGGTAGGGTAGGAATTAGGAATTATTCACAGAAACATACTGGAGCCTGTCAGTAAGGTAAGATTGAAGGTATTGTAGGGAGTGACCTCTGACTCCATAATGATGTAATTTAAGAAGAAGGTTTTGATGGTTGCAGTGTCAAAAGCCTTTTGTAGGTCCACAAATAACCCAACAGGGAACTCATTTTTATCAAGAGCTGTATGTATCAAGTTAATCATACTAATCAGTGCATCTTTAGTGCTTTTATTGGGTCTGAAACCATATTGGCAAGTTAAGTATATTATGCTTGGCTAGATAAGAGTAAAGCTGCTTGTAGATTAGCTTTTCAAATATTTTTGACAAGGTTGGTAGAATTGATATAGTTCTGTAATTGTTGACATCAGTGAGATCACCACATTTGTGGACTGGGGTTACTCTTGCTTTTTTTTTAGAATATCCAGAGAGGTTTGGAGTTCAAGTGATTTGTTGAAGAGCAATGCAATGGCAGGAGCTAGAAAGCTGGGGGCTTTTTTGTAAATTAGAGATGGTATCTCATCAAGGGCACTCGACTTTGTTTTAAGGGAAAGGATTACTTCATCAACATCAGAGGAGTTAGCAGGAGTTAGGTACAGAGACTCTGGATAGTTATCTGTAAGGTAGTCATTAATATTAGTGAGGGAGGATGGAATATCATGAGCAAGGGATGTTCCAATGGAGGAGAACCTATTAAATTCAATAGCAGTGTCAGAGGCTGAAAGCACACCATCATCATTAGATAGGAGCATTGGTTTTTTATTTAAAATCTTTTTTGATTCCAATTTTTGGGAAATAGTACTCTATGTTTTCTTATTGTTGCCCCTAATTTGGGTGAATTTATTTTCATAGTAATTTGTTTTGGCTCTCCTAATTATTTTTGACAGCACTGATGAGTAAATCTTTGAAAATTCTTTGGAGACAACTCCTAACCTACACTTCTTCTCAAGGTCATGTTTTTTAGTAATAGATTTAAGTATCCCCTTTATAAGCCATGGATTATTTAACCTTTTAGTTGTGACTTGTTTAGTTAGCATAGGACAGTGGGTGTTATAAAGGCTGAGAGTTTTCTGAAGAAATGTTTGTACTGCTAGGTTGATGTTTCCTATGTTACCTAATTCAGTCTCCCAGTTGATATTAGCAGCAGCAGCAGCAGCAATAAAATTGACTATAGAAGTTTCATTGTGCAGCCTAAAGCTTTTCTTCCTTGTATCTAGAGGTGGTTTGTTAATGTTGGTTAGGAGAAACGTTGGGTAAGGGTCAGTGGTTCTATCAATGATTATCCCTGAAGTAAGTGGAGAGGTTATGTTAGTCCAGATGTGGTCAAGAGCTGTGGCAGTACTATCAGTGATTCTAGTAGATCTAGTGATTAAGGGTATGAGTACATACATAATAACAATGTATTAATTAAGTACATACACATTAAGTACATACATAATGACTTACACATCAATGAAAACATACTAGTAATGAATAAAAGCAAGTGCACTTTCTAAAATGCATATACTGTACTGTGTTATATTACCAATAGTGTATAATAACTTTTGTCCCTAAAACCAAAATTAATGTATGGAAAATCAAAATAAGATCCAGGTATTAAATATTTTTGTCAGAAAAGTCTTAACTAACCATAGAACCATGAGCTGGATGAGTCTGATGAACAGCAGATGATGATGCTAACTGAGCCTGTGTCACACTGACAGCTCCTATTCCGCCACTTCCCTGACATCCCTGCCTTTTGTGTGTAACAAACTCCTTAATCTCCGTGAACTGTGCTCCACAAGCGCCACAGATGTGAACATCTCCTCCTCCCCCAATAGGGTGGTGGCCAGGTTGTAGAGTTGCAGAAGTTGGGGCTGTGGCTAGGATAGATGGCTGCGTGCCCTGAATGATAGCTGAAACAAGTCATATGATATTATTACTAAGATTTAACTAATATATATATATATATATATATATATATATACAGCTAAGTCCAGTTTGATATGAACAATCCATAACTATTAAAACTCTGAAGATCATAGAAAATTAAATTACCACATTTATCCCAAAATGGTTTAATAAATGCTGCGAACTTCCTAATAATACATATTTGGAGCACAGCCATAAAAACATTGGTAAAACTTTGAATGCTTTGATGTCCAAAGAGCTTGGAAAGGATGTGGGAGGAAGAAGGATGGGGTGATGAAATTCTTGGAAGAGGATTTGGATGTGGAGAGAGGAGGCTTGAAAGTTCGGTGGCCCGTCCACCTTGGATTGGAGATGTTTTTTCAGTCAAAGCCTGTAGCTTAAGTTCTTCTTGGGCGGCAGGAGGCTAGTGGTGGGGCAGGGTGATGTCGTCCTGGTTCACTTGAGGTGGTCTGTCTGGCTTGGAGGAGGCGTCTTCCTTATTGAGATGGTGAGAGGTAAGTTCACTGTTGCTTGGTGGTGTCTCGGCCAGGAGGTATTCGCATGTACTTCCCGAATGTTAGCGGTGGTATTGGTATTCCTGTCGGGTCTTCATCTTCTTCCAGGAAGGTCACTTGTCCCCTCTTGACGTCAAATTTAGGGTCGATGTATGCACTCTCCAGAGCGCAGAGGTCTACATAGCGTTCCACGGTCTCGTGGTGGACAAACACCGGGTAAGGAATGGTTTTCCTGAGCTGGTTCATGATCCTGTTGCATTCTAAGGCAATGACCATTCTTGTGCTTCGATTGCCGTTGAAATTGCCACCGTGATTGAGGTAAAGTCCAAAGCAGGGCACTTTCTTGCTTGATTTGCTTGGGTTTAGGTCGAAGTCTGGGGCCTCATATGTGAAGGTCTCAGCCAAGGCTTCTAGGGACTCTGGTTCTGAATCTGATTCTGATTCCACTTGCTGTTCTTGGTTAATATTCATAGGATATTTTTTTTAGGTAACATTTAATTGACCCTCAAGCCAACTAATTTTTGTCAAATATAAAAATGGAATATATGTCACATTTTGACACATTAAATCATACCAAAATGTTCTGTCAAAAGCAAAGATATTGTTTCTTGAACCAATTCATATAACAATTGGTTTTGATAACAGAGAACAATGTAAAGTTATTAGTCTCAAATTAACACAAGTATTAATTTAAGACTTGAGCTCCTGGTCCCCAATCAAATAATCGTAGCACTTACCTACATCAACACAATGATCTTTACTGCATATATTTTGGTATTCTTTTTATTTTTGCATACAGATTCCTTATTTTTAAATACATTTCCCTTTATGACAAAAAATATTTGTTTGGCCTTGGCTACCTGATCAACCAGGCTGTAACTCATACATCAGCCTGCAAGCAACCGCATCGACCAGACCACCAACCAAGAGGCCTGGACCAGGCTGTTGGGTTGTCGATTCTCAACATCAACAGCATTACAATGTACCAATTACAATGTACCATTACCAATTACCATTACAATGTAATGCATATGAATGTTATAAGGAATGCTGACCACTGCCCAGGTCAAACCAAGGCCATATACCTTTATTATGATGTATATGATTTTTGGCTATTTCCCATGCATGTGAATACATACTCTACCATTCGTAATACACAGAGTAATCACACTATTGTGATGCATCAATGAGCAAATCCATAGGAGCTGATGAGGGTTCGAACCAATGCGCCGCGTGTTCCCGGGCACATAGGTTCAAACCCTCATCATGGCTGCTAAGGATTTGCTCATTCATAATTACGTAAAATATTAATTTTTTTCTCACATAGGGTGGCAATTATTATTATTAATTATTATTATTGTTGTTATTATACAGGTTGTTACACTTTTAAGGTGAATGTCAGCATGACCTAGACTTTTATGGTCTAGGATTACTTTGGTTTTCTTGAGGATAAGGACCTTCCACATAGCCAACATGGACATAACACCACCAGCTAACAAGAAACTTACCTTTAGGTTACACAGTGAAGCAGCAATAGGCAATCTCACAAATGCACTCCACAATATAAACTGGGAATCTGAATTTAATAATACTCAGGATATAAATTCATTAACTAACCTCTTCCTTGCCAAAATTCTAAAGCTTTACAACACCCATTGTCCTCTCCTCACCAAGCAAGTAACTGACAAAAGATTAAACAATCCCTGGCTCACAAATGGCATACTCAAAGCAATTGACAAGAAACATGAATATGAAAAAAATTAAGATTGGCTAGTTGCAAAGGAAGTAGTTAACAGGTACTCGTCAGTGCTTACCAGTATAATAAGAAAAGCAAAACTTTCCCATTATGAGAGTAGATTCAAAGAAGCAAAAGGCAACATGGAAAGCCATCTTTAACATCCTAGGATCTAAACAACATTCACATAACCAGATAAAAATTTCCTAGAATGGTTGTACACCTGCAACAGATCTAGAAACAGATTATTAAAAATAGCTTCTTTTCATCAGTTGGCACTAACCTTGCCAGAAAAATCCCACACTCAGATACATATTACCATATATCTTTCAGGCAGCTACCCAAACTCTCTTCTCCTTTCACTAGTCAGTCTTAACCGTCCACCATTCACTCACTAAAAACAAAAGCTTGGAATATTAGTGAAATAACATCCATGGTACACTAAAGTGTCTCCCATGCCCTTGTGCCACCCATAGCTTTGTTGTTCAACAAATCTCTAGTCATACCTTCCCTGATATCCTCAAAAAAGCAAAAGTAATGCCAGTTCATAAGGGAAGCAATCCAGCAGACAAACAATTACAGACCAATATCAGATCTACCTATATTATCAAAAATATTTGAAAAATTATTTACAAACAGCTCTACTCCTATCTTGTAAAATTCAACATACTGTACTAGGTCCCTGTCAGTTTAGCTGCCACTCCCAAAAGAGTACCAATGATGCAATTATTAGTCTGCTTGACTTAATCTACTCAGTCCTTGACAAAAATGAGTTTCTGATTGGACTCTTCATCTGACCCGAGAAAGGCCTTTGATACTGAACCATAAATACCTCTTAAACTCCGCCATTATGGAATCCGAGGCCTTGCCCTGAACTACAGTACATCCAATCCTATCTTAGTGACAGACTAAGGCTACCAATATGTAGCCATTAACGATATAACTTCTCCCACTACCAGTATCCATAGGGGTGCCACAGAACAGCATCCTAGGACCTCTCCTATTTCATATATACATCAATGATCTGCCTAATGTCTTAATATTCTAACACCTGTATTATTATTTGCTGACAATACTACCCTCATCTACTCAGACCCCAACCCACACACACACACACTAAATAATGTTGTAAACAGTGAACTAAAATGGATGTCAACCAACAAACTCACACTAAACATAGAAAAAACCTACTACATCTTATTTGGAAGCAAATTAACAAACGCAATTCAGCTTCAGACAATGGTAATAATAATGATGGAAAGTGCCTCGTCCAATACTTTTTTTTTCCAGGGATATTCCTGTGTGGGCCCTAAGCCTCTGGCTGGCCCACTAAGTGTTGCTTGTTCTATACTTAGGCAAGAGACTCAACTTTAGCACCCCACATATAGCACATAACCAAGAAAGTCTCAAAAAGTGGTTGGTATACTCTCTAAAATCCAATATTATATTCCAAACTCTGCTCTCCTCTCACTATACTATGTGCTAATCTATCCTTATCTTATATATGGTATCTGTGCATGGGGCTCAACCTCTGCAAGTTACCTCAAGCACCATCTTCATTCAGCAAATATCTGCTATCAGAACAATAACAAATTTGCCTTTCAGACAATACACAGCCCTCCCTGTTTAAAAGGCCCCGTATGCAAGTGTTACAGTACTGGTCATTGCATTTCTCCAATAAACCACTAAACTCTGAACCTTATTTATTTTATTTATTTATTTATTTATATACAAGAAGGTACATTGGGTTTAATGACTCTCCTGTCTAATAACGATGGTCAGCTTTCAGCCTCTGATTCTGCTACTGAGTTCAATAGGTTCTTCTCTTCCATTGGTTCATCCCTTGCAAATGATATTCCATCTTCCAGTACAGACATTAATGACTATCTTTCAGGTAACTATCCACAGTCTCTGTACCTAAAGCCTATTAATTCCACTGACGTCAATGAGATAATCCTTTCCCTTAAAACCAAGTCTGGTGCCCTTGAGGAGATACCAACTTTAATTTACAAAAAAGCCTCCAGATCTTTAGCCCCTGCTATTGCTTTGCTCTTCAACAAGTCACTTGAACTCCAAACCTTCCCAGATATTCTAAAAAAAGCGAGAGTAACGCCTGTCCACAAATGTGGTAATCTCACAGATGTTAACAACTACAGACCCATATCTATCCTGCCAAACTTGTCAAAAATTTTTGAAAAACTAATCTATAAGCAGCTTTACTCATATCTAGCCAAACTCAATATACTTAGCCCTTGCCAATATGGCTTCAGACCCAAAAAAAAGCACTAACGATGCACTTATTAGTATGCTTAACTCGATTCATACAGCTCTTGATAAAAATGAGTTCTCTGTTGGGTTGTTTGTGGACCTGCGTAAAGCTTTTGACACTGTCAACCACCAAAACCTTCTTCTTAAATTACATCATTATGGAGTCAGAGGACACTCCCTACAATACCTCAAATCCTACCTTACTGACAGGCTCCAATATGTTTCTGTGAATAACACAATTTCTCCCACCCTACCCATCAACATTGGTGTTCCCCAGGGCAGCATACTTGGCCCTCTCCTCTTTCTCATCTACATTAATGACCTTCCAAATGCCTCCCAACACCTCAAACCAATTCTATTTGCTGACGACACAACCTTCATTTACTCCAGTCCTGATCCCCTTGCTCTAAATGCCACAGTAAATACTGAGCTAAATAAAGTCCATCTGTGGCTAACTGCCAACAAACTCACCCTTAACATTGACAAAACCTTTTATATTCTGTTTGGCAATAAATCCTCTAATCAAATAAATCTCAAAATAAACAATACCCAAATTTGTAACAAATTAGATGGCAAATTCCTTGGCATTCTCATTGACCACAAGCTTAATTTCCAGGGACACATTCTAAACATATCAAAAAAGTTTCAAAAACTGTGGGCATTCTTTCTAAGATCAGATATTATGTACCACGCCCTGCCCTGGTGACTCTCTATTACTCCCTTATCTATCCATATCTCAACTATGGTATTTGTGCTTGGGGCTCTACTACCCAAAATCACTTACGTCCTCTAATTACTCAACACAAAGCTGCTATTAGGACAATTAATTCTGGCCCCAGACATCACTCGGTACCCCTACTTAAATCTCTGAATATGTTAGACATTAAGTCACTGCACATTCTCTCATGTGTATTATACATATATAAAACGCTAAACTATAATGCCAATCCTGATCTCAAAAGCTTCATAGAAGGTTGTATCAGAACCCATGAGCATCACACCAGAAATAAATACAGTTTTGATATTCCTAGAGTACGACTTAATCAAACTAGAAATGCTCTACAAATCAAGGGGCCCAGAATGTGGAATGACCTTCCCAACCATGTTAAAGACTGTACCTCTCTCAACCAGTTTAAGTTAAAAGCGAAGCTATACCTAATAAATTCCCTGTAACCTACCTTACCCTTCTATTGTCAACCAATGTCTGTTTTTTTCTTTAAAGAGCGCTGTTTGTCGACATAATTGTATTTGTGCTGCTTTTTCATCTATGTTTTCATTTCTTGTTTTCATTCTACTCATTATGCTCAATTAGTATTAAGCTTGTCATTTAAGTTTATCATGCCCGAAACGCTTTGCGTAATAGTGGCTTTAGGCATTGTATGTACTAGCTATACCTATAAGTTAAACAATCCTTGTAAATATTTATTGTATGTATGTACCTTACCTAAATAAAATTGTATTGTATTGTATTGTATTGTATTGTATTGTAATAGAGTACAGAGACTTGAATTTTTACATTCTCGTAAAGCCACTAACACGCATAGCATTTTGGGCAGATCCTCTATTTAATATATAATTTTAAGAGGGTAATTTCAAGGAAAAAATAAAAAAAAGTTTACAGGTACATTGTAAGAAAGCATAAAAATGTATTGTAAGGAAGTATAAAAAATTACTGTACATTGTATAAGAAACTTGTCATAAAAAATAGGTACATTAGAGTGAATTTAAGGGTTATCCACAGGTACATTTTAGCATTATTTGAGGATTATTGCAAGATATAATGTAGCAAACTGTGTGTATAACATGATATATGTAGCAAAATTACTACAAACTATAATGTAACAAACTATGTATACAACATGAAATAAGATAACAGCAATGATTACAATGCTAAAGTTGTATGGCATAGGTACATATTTTGGGGAATTGTATAGCACTAGATACAGTGCGAGTTTCAAGCACTAGATACAGTGCGAGTTTCAAGCACTAGATACAGTGCGAGTTTCAAGCACTAGGTAGGAAACTATGAAGATGAAATTGAAATTAGATACCTTTTGGTTTTATTTTTGAAAATGGCAAAATTTGTTTGACAGCTTTTCAATTCATCAGGGAGTGAGTTCCATACCAGGTCCCTTTATTTGCATAGTGTTTACACAGATTAAGTTTGACTAGGGATATCAAAGAGATATTTATTTCTGGTGTGGTGATTATGTGTTCTATTACATCTGTCAAAGAAGAGTTTCAGAACAGGGTTTTGTATATGTAATTGACAAGAGAATGTGTGGAGTAAGGTTATGTTTAGCATGTTTAGGGATTTAATAAATTAAAGTTGATATTTCTGGTTATTTGCCCGTTATATTTTTATGCAAGCTGATTATACAGGGTCATCAGATTAGTACTAAGGACAGTACAAGTTAATACAGTACATATAAATCCAGTGTATTTATACTGCTGACAAAATCATTTTTTCAACCATGGGTATGGTCATCCTTCTACAGTACTATAATTCAATAGTTATATAGTTATTCCTGTCATTCAGCTGTCAATAGGAATTTAATGCTTGTATTGTTGTCATTCAGCTGTCAACAGTAATTCAGTCGGTAAGTCAGCTGTCAACATTTGTTCATGTTATACTAGCCAGTCGTGAAGACGTATCAAGGTCAGGTAATGGCCCAAATGGTGTTCACGGCTGACTGACAGCATGGTCAACTACTTTGTTTACCGCGTCAGCTGTCAGCCAAGCGGGGAGGATCAGCTGACGGGTCACCCAGAGCGAGCGTTGTGCCTCGCGCCCCCGCCCCCCCGGAGGCCATCTTAACTCTCCGTGTCATTCCTCGCCTGTCCCTCTTGGACCCTCCTCGCCGGCGCCAGCCAGGCACTACCATCACCTCTCGCCTCCGCCGCCAGTGCCACCGTGGTGCCTGACACTCCCCGCCGTGGGGCCACAGGGCCCACGAAGGCGCCATTACGCTCATTCCCACCCGTGACGGTAGGGGTGGTGGAGGAAAATGGCCAGGACGGCGGCCCTTCACTACGCATAACTAATCTCACAGTCATCACCATTGTCTCATTTGACGCATCTCATGCTTACTGTAGCTCTGTGGATGGTTCGAAGAAACAGGCACGTTCATCCTGGCTGCGTTCGTCCTCGATCACTTCATCACTTTTAAATAAACGTAAAAGTTTGGTGAGAAGCGTTGCGTTGTTCGCTGTTCCTTCCAGGTCTGGCCTCCTCCCAGTGTTGCCAGATC